TAGACGGATATCTCTCCTTCGCCATTGGTGACGTTGACAAAAGCCAAACGAGCGTTTTGAACCGGTTCAGAAATTTCGTCAGACACCAACCCGTTACGGCTAATCAAACTTCCAAGATGAGTGAGGATATCGACGCGTTCGACCATTTCACTTCCTATCCTTAGTTCAGGTGTTGATACAGGCCAGTCCCGAAGCAAAAATTTGATTTGGAGGAAGTAAAGCATCCCAACCATCCTAGCATTGTTGCTCAGTGCTACCAAAAGACTGCATTTTACCAGCGTCTTCACCATGCAGAGCTGCATCATCTGCATATTATAAGGCGACGAGTGGATCTTCTGGTAGGAAATTTATTCCCGAAAATTCAAATGACGAGAACGTTGTTTCCAGCAGTAGGTCTCTGATGAAATTTCTCGGTTACGGAGTCAAATGCTGCTTTTAAGTCGAGGAAAACCATTGTCGGACCCCGATAAGCATGCATGTGCTCTACAATCTGACGAATGGCAAATATGTGGTTGATGCAGCCACGACTAGGTCTGAAGCCTGTCTGATTTTCTCGTGTTTACAGTTCACGAGTCTTTGTTAGGCGTTCGATAATTATTGAGGCTAGTATTTTAAACGCTATATTAGTCAAGCCAACCCGTCAGTGGTTACCACTGGATGATTTTGATCCTTTCTTATATATTGGGACGATAAGTGATTGTGACCAGTCAGATGGGATAACATCTAACTCCTCGATCTTAGCAAAAATATTAGTCAAGCTAATCGCTGACACTGGACTACCATCCTTAAAGACTTCTGGAGTTAATCTAATTGCTCTTCCTCGTTTCAGATTAGCTATAGCCTTTTGAACTTCAATTAGAGTCGGGGGGCCTCACTTTCACTTGACTTCTTAGTTCCAGTTTCTTTTATTAGTCTGAAAGGCTGTCTGATGTTACATACAGCCGCTGCCTTTTCCATCTCTTTTGCTTTCGTTGCCCACCACTGCTCACGATCGTTCCGTAGACTTTTTGTAGCCCTAGATCTGGTTTGTTTCCCCTCTTCATCGTGTGCGGAGGCTAATTGGACGAGTTTATGAGAGTATATCAATGTAGTAGATGTCGCAGAAATCCACTAGTTTTCCGTAACCCTTTAGTTCAAATCAATAATATATATCACTGCTGTTTCTATAGCTGTTTGTATATCTTTCCAAGCAACATCTAAGTCAGCCTCTTTTTCGAATTTACCTGAGTGTGATTTCAGTTGCTGCTGGAAGCTACCTTTCGCTTTTTCGTCGCTGAGTACAACTCTAATTGGTCTTCTTGATGTGGCTTTTCTGCATCTTATTAGGCACAAGCAATTGCGCTCTCGTACTAGAGAATGATCAGAGTTTAAACATATACTCCAGAACGAGCGTCAGTTTTCTATCGAGCCTCTCCAACAATGGATGATGGCAATGTGATCTGAGTCCATCGTTAGTTTGGTGCGGGGTATCGCCATGTTAGACAATGTCTGTCCTTATGCTTAAGATTAGTGCTTTTTATAAATAGACGATTGTCTGAGCACACTTGCAGCAGACGGTCACCATTATTTGTTTGCTGAGCCGGAATACCAAAATACCCACCTAAATGTTCGGTTTAAGCTACCTACTTGGACATTAAAGTAACCTACTACGAGTACTATATCTGAGTGTTTAGCCTTTTGAAGAAGTTCAGAAAGCTTTCTGCAAAAGTCATTTTTCACTTTATCCGGGCTGCAGTCAGTGGGAGCGTAGGCAGAAATGACGAAAAGGCAACGACTTGTGTCCCTATCCTTCTGAGTTCTTACAGAGCCGTTTAGCCAAATAACGCATAGGCGACTGTTAATGGGGATCCATTCTAAAAGTGCTTGTTATGCCCACATACTTAGTGCTATGCCCATACCAATTAGTCCACGAGAATTTGCCGTCCGGTCGCCAGATAAACTGAGGGTGTATCTCGTCGGCTCTGCTTTGGCTAGATAAGGTCAAGTTTATGACCACATCAGGGTCCTGCATGTGGTTTTAGGAGACGCAGCATGCATATATGTTAGGAGATTCTAGGGTCTTAGCCAAGAAGTCCTGTTGGCCTATTTGACACAAGGTACGTACGCGGAAGGTTCCAATGTGTAGTTTGGAGCGAGGTTTCAGTAGACCTTGGACAGTGTTTTGAGCACTAGAATCTTTGGCTATGGTGACACTTGAGGAGCAAGCCAAAAGAGAAAGTTTAGTGTTGAAAGTCGTTATAGGGGGAATAATCGGAATTACAGAGGGAGATTGATTATGAATACAGTGGTGTTGAGTGCTGTTATAGGTATGAGTGTGGTTATCACTTCCCGGCCGCTCACATCGCGAAAGGGTTCTGGAGGTACTTGAAAAGGGAATTGGATTAGGGGTGGTCTTAGTGACCTGAGAGAGTTCATCGATAATTATTAGGTTTAAGAAAGAATTTTTAAGTGCAAGAAAAGTTGTTAACATCCTTATCGAAGTTACATATATGGTGGTAACTAGAATGTGTTTTTGTCTAAGTGTTTGATCTTATAGGCTGTAACTTAAACAAGCCGTAGCACTGGAAAGACAAAGAATTTCTATACGAGAAGAAATCATTAATCTATAAGGCAGTGCCCAAAGGACAACTGCTTGAGGCCGGTCACACAGCATTTTTGTGTCAGCTCTGTACTTGAGACCTTACCGCCGGAGACGAAGATCCATGGTATAAGGTGAGATGTGCATTTTTCCAACCCCACCCTTCCTTGTGGGAAGGCAGCATCGCTGTTATGCTAGTTGTACGAAGGAAACATTTTACTGCCGTCACACCTCTGTACATTCAGCAGTACGACTTCGCCTTCAAACCTTGGGTTTGCTGCTTTTAGTCCTACCGAACTGTCTGGCATGATTAAACCTTGAGGAACTTTTGTTCTAGCCAATGTAGCCCAGTTGGCTCATGACGACGGTATTTTATCCTTCCCTACCTAGCAGTATTTGAATGTAGAAGTTTGATATGTGGATTGTTAAGTCCATGAATATTTAAGTATAAATACGGATCAGTGCCAGAAAGAAATCAGTGTAGTATACAACTTTCGTATATTCCCTATCACTGAATACTAATTTCTAGTTTGCTATATTCTAAGGCTTGGTCGTCATTACTTTTTCTTCTTTGCCGCTTAGGTCGGATTAATCATAGTTGTTCACCGAATGCAATAATTCGTTTCAGTGGAGTCAATAGTCGATTATCTGTGGTTGCATTGACACCGATTCAAGAAGGTGAAGAAGTCACTATCTCCTATTTGGATCATTGTCTACAATCACGTGGTCGTCACACAAGACGTAAATACTTATCATCAAATTATTTGTTTTGGTGTGATTGCCCTAAGTGTGAAATGGAAAAGATTGATGGTGCATTAAGCGTGACATCCTCATCTGAAGACGATGAAGATGGTGATGACCATTGTACTCAACAAGACAAATGTGAATAATTTCATGAAAACTCGTCATACCCTCCCACCCAACCACTTACCCTCAATACACATGAAATAAGCTATTTTGACAAATTCTTTGTATGATAATTTGTGTAAAATAAAATTCAAATCATGAATAATCCTTTTGGTAATTGTTCTTGCTCTGTTACGTTGTTATTGATTGACTGAACAATTGTTTGATAAAGATATCTGTGTCCAGCTCAAACTAAAATAGACGTGAAGTAGAATACCAGTCTCTTTACAGATTGTCAAAATTTAAGTGTTTGCACGACTGAGAAAGTCACGTAGCTAACTCTTAATTTAACTCTTTTTCGTCATTAGTTAGTCACTATTGAAAATTATCTCTGAACATGGGTAATTCTAAACAAATCAAGAATTAATATTACCATTAAATCAGAAGTGAAACCAGTCTTAATCCACATTTACTATGCACGACAAACATTGTGAAACGTAGAAAATTATGACAAGAACCAACTCAGATTGCTTTTATTTAAAGACTGGACGAAAAGCAGTTCAGTATTTATGTCTCCCTCTTAATTGTAGTATACCAAGACAAACGTTTGCATAAATTCTAGAAGGGAAGGTCAATAGAGCCATGGGCTAGTAGCTAAGGTGTTCAACCTTCAGCCATCAAGTCCCGGGTTCAAACCCCACCCCATCCGCTCCTCTTTGGCAACCAGGTTGTAAAATAAGCCTTCACATTTAAAGTGTGCCTGATACCCAAGAAATGAGAACCAAACCCTTTTTCAAAAAATGACACTAATGTATAGCTTTGGCTTAACGGCTAAAACACTCGGTGTTAGATTTATGTTTTATAACTGTATTACTCATGGGTAACGCGTTTTTACGTCACAATCCTCTTTCGTACGCTTCATCGAATAATCGTGAACTAACTGTTCTCTTATTGGTCGATACACATTTTGCACGTCCAGCCATATTGAACTAGTCACGTTTTGCTCGTCTATGCTAAGTTTATCACCCTCAATGTGATTCCTAAATTAAACTAATTATTTTTTTGTTTTAGTACCATTTATTATTTGTATGTATTCATACATAAATATTCCTATAAGTCAAGACAGTTTTCTTACGTTAACCAACCTCGGATTTGTTATTCTGGCTAATCTGACGCTCAGTTTTTAACCAACAAGGTACAGGTTTGAAATTAAGCTTTATCTGATTGAGTCTCGGTAGCCAGGTTCTATCATTAGCCCTCATATAGACAGCATGACTTTGCGTTTCAAATACATAGACTTAGACTTGGTAAGAATAATTTAGATTAATTAAGTACTATAACCGAACTATGGTCCATTTGTGATTAGAAATACTAATTTTAATTACCATATTGGGGATTAAGACAAGCACGTTATTATACAACCACATTTTACAACGGTTTTGTAATATAAACATGCAAATTACTCGATTAAATAGTAGTAAACTGATACATTCGGGGATATCTGCTTGACTATAAGCCATAAAATCTTGTCGAAACTTTTGTTTTTACTTTATTCTTAAGGTTTATCTTCATGTTCATGGGACCTATATTTCTTGACTGGTAAATTTTACATATGATTCCCGTTACTTTATAGACAAATTGATCTCTTTAGTATGCAAAACTTATTGAAGACAGAAATCACAAATGACATAGATAAATCTAAATAAAGAAGTGTATGCAAATGAAATATGTTGTTTGATACTGTTTTTATATAGATGCAGTTTGATGTTGTTTGTGTTAGTACCCAGCAACAGTGAAATCTAAACTGGCTTCTGGGAATCTTCTCGTCTTTACATCTGTACGTTAATCAGTGCTGCCTCTTTCTCCTTGAGACTAAAACAACCTATACCAATTGATATAGGGGCTTGTAGAGATTGAATTTTTATGGTTTTCACCACTGACTGATCTTAGTTACACAACCAGTATTCACTGGACAGCTATTTCATCGTAGTATAAAACTCCTTAACAATGCTCATTCAATACCTCAAGTGGGATCAAATCCAGGACCTTCTGGTCCGAACCTTTAGACCACTGAGCCGACATCTGGCGGTTTGTATATCTAACTTTGGTTAATTCATAATATTGCGCGATTACCTCCCATTGTTTTTTTGGTTAACTGCCTTTCTCTCACGGCTTCTCACTAGAACTTCGGTAACTACCTCTCAAATATGGTCATTAGTGAATATTTGGTTACAGTTGCATTACAGGTTTGTAGCGATTGTTGAATTTTCATAGTTTTCATCACGCATCTGAAAGACTTGGGCTCGATCGTCAGTGGAATCGTGGATATACACTGTTGATGAGTCTCATACTATGACGGAACAGTTATCCAGTTTCAGTGCCTTCTTATTTTTCAGCGGTTGTATAACTTTTACATAAACTCTGATTACACTGATCGAGTCAAACATACTTAATGTAACTGATTGACAAAGTGGATAGTGTATTAGTCGACACTTCAGCAAATAAGAGAATGGTATAGGTCGCTTTTAATATTAGGAGGGGACTAGACAAATATTCCTACTTATATCAAAACCCCTTATAAGTTTATAGACCTAGTACACTCCCACATCTGGTCAGCAGGTTTTTTCCAGGCATGACACAACTAATCGGTTACTGGGTCGAATTCTAGAAAGTTCTGAGCTTTCATTTCTTACTAGTTTGAACTCACCATTATTAAAGTATATTTGTAACCTTGATTGAACCGATGTTCCTCGTGGGATTCGAAATAGTGCCGTAATTGAGGATGTCACCGTTAAGCTGTTCTGAGAATAACTGATCTGTCAAACTTCGATGTTGAGTCACCTAAAAGTGATAGCTGCACTTCAACTCCACCTGTAGAATTTAATCACTACCTAAAGACTACAATGCAGGATTCGGCATTATTCAGTGACAAACTGGTTTACCTAATAGTTTTCTGGCTTAGTTAAAAAATTTATTTGGCTTAGATTTCTATTTAACAAAATGATTCTATAATGAGAGTACTTTCTATTTCAATTTCTTCTTAGTGTGAACGCCTGTTCTGTTGTTTCCGTAGTTCCGACGTCGACGACAACGACAATTCACAGATCCGTTATGAATCCTACTCGGAACGTGGCGGTGGTGGGGGACCTGTAGACTTAGAGACTCGTAGACGATTACAAGTAGAAGCTATCGAACGCCGATTAGCTGAAAGTGAATCACGTGGGATTGGAGATCTTGCAAAAGTTAGAAGAAAACAAGAACGTATTGAAGAGTTAGAAAAGAAACAGTATAGTGATAAACCATCAGATAATACATTACGATGGAATGTCAGTTAGTTGGACTGTATAAAATTATATTATTCACTTCGTTTCTTTCTGAATTCTTGTAAGTAGATCATGATGTTATACTCTTCTAAAATTCTTGTTGAAGTACATTCATTAATATGTATGCTGCATAATAATATTTTGTCAAATAATGGTCTTTTAATCAAGTTTCTTTTTCGAAAATTTATACATAATTTCATTATTTAATAATAAATCAACTTTTTATTAATTGGACTAACCAACTTATTGAAATTTTCACATTGACTATAATTCGTGTCACGTGATTAGGTTAATGCCAACGTTATAAAACAGATATCGACTTAATTTGTAAAAAAATTTGGCAATCACTAACTTTTGATTTTAGTTGTTTAAAGACATTTCACTCCCTACGAAAGCTGAAGATAATCTGTACTAATAAGGAGGAGTCTTACTCCCGAATAAAACATTTTTCTAGTACTTCCTAGTATTTTAGTTAAATTCCATTCTCAACAAACGCTTGATTTACTTTTATTTCCAAATCATGACTTTAAGTTATAATGGTATTCAACTCCTGTGAACCGAAGTATGTATCATTCGTTCTTTTATCGAATTTGTTTTCAAACTTAGTGGATCTTACGCGCATATCAAAAGTATTGTCAGATTGGTTGATGTTAGAAACTGTCACCATTGGATGCCGGCTCAGTGGTCCAGTTGGTTAAGCGTTCGCGCGCGAAACCAAAGGCCCTGGGCTCGAATCCCGCTCGCGGGATCGTGGATGCGCACTGCTGAGGAGTCCCACAATAGGACGAAACGGCCGTCCAGTGCTTCCAGGTTTTCAATTGTGATGGTCTAACATCAATCGGTTCATGATCTCAATCAAAAACTTAATAATCTCCACAACCCCTATACTAGTATTGTCAGATTCTCTAGAATAATGTACTGAAGGTTGTCTTGGCTTTTCAAACATGTAACTCTATATACCTACATAACTGGTTTTTACCTATTAATTTGAGAATTCAAGTTGATTTCGCCCATTTTGATTCATTTGACGAATCAGTATCGAAAAAGCCTTTACACAATAAGTCTATGTGAAACTTTATTGCACGTATAAATAGATACTAAGATTTTCCAACTGCGTTGCTCTCTACTTTTGTTTTACGATTTAAAAGTATTTCATATTAAGAATTATATTCAGTCCGATTTCATGGTAGAGTAAAGTGGTTTTGTATCTAATAGTCATCTAATTGGTTGCTTACTTGATCCACGATTTAGTGAATTGTAGGGCTTAAACTAATTTGTGGATATCTCAGTGACTTGATTGAATGAGAACTTTGCACTGAAGTGGCTTAACTGGCTGACGTTAAACTAAAAAATTTATTCATATGTAATTTAAGTATGAAAACAAGAATCCTGTTCTTATGGATAAATCTTTCCTGATTGCTACCTGACGCCATATGTCATAAGTCTATTTAGTTTTTGAGTAAGTGAAATCAAGTTTCTGTAGGTATTTATGATTAGTTTAAGACATATTAGTTTATTTCAGATAGTCAATTTAAGACTTCATAACTTTCTGAATATTCTTCGTTTAACAACTTTGCTCCTTCCTAGTTTGACCTAACCTTGTGTAATTTTGCTCTTTGTAAACTACTTCTAACTTATACCCTGCAAACTAACGATCTCATTTTATGGTCAATATATTTGATTATCTGTGAAACAATCGGATTTCTTAATATATGTTTACCCAACTTTATGAAATGGTAGACAGATCTTTTGGTACTCTCGATTATGTATTTTGACATCTTTCAATATTCCACTAGGAATTTTTATTACTTTGAAAATAAAGTACAACTCCACTCTTATTTAAAGATGAGTTTACAAGCTGAATTAAAGTTTAATTTCTTTCACTTCAAAAGTTGAAAGTAGGCATCAAATCTGATAAATTTATGTAATCAAACTTTCAGTAAATGTTAGAGGCCGATATTAGGTGGGTGGATTTAGTTGACAGGAAACCAACCGAGGATTCGTACTAATTATATTCTCTGTTATTTGTACATATAAAAAAATTGGTATGTTAGAAAAGTGATCATGTCTATTAAACATATTTCGTACAATTAGTTGTATCTCAAAAATCTACTTACTAAAAGTCATATACATGAACAGAGATAGATGGTGACTAGCAGTGGAATCTAGGACGCGCGTTTCGTCCTAATTGGGACTCGTCAACTGGATAGTAGTAGTTCTTTGACTACATTATCCTGTACTAGAAAAGTTATATTTAGATATGTAAGTCAGACTACACGTTTTAGAAATGCTCTGTCATATATTCAAAATAAGAAATTCCTTTCGTTCTGTTTAATTGTGGTTGATTTTCTTATTATGGAAATCGGTAATTATCGTGTCCGTCTATTGACTTTGCTATTTATCACACGTGAGGCCAGGATCTTTTACATAACTAATGATACAGTGACCAATGAACAGCGATCAACATCTTAACGTCTAATGGTCCACGATATCCCCCTAACGCAGTGTTCAGTCGGAAGACAACGTTAACAAGCGTTTATATGCTCAGTTGTTTTGTTATCACTATAACTCAACACATATAATAATAACGAGTTGATTCCTGACCACACAACAATATGAATAGAAAATTATGATTTACTCCATAAGTGAAAAAGGGTTAGTTAACGGGTCCGTAATTAGTTAAGGATGACTTAGAGGAAATAGAACATGTAATAACATTATAGCCCCCTAATGCCCTGGTATGGCCGAAAGCGGGGTGGGTTCGCCCTCCCTCTCGAAATACTCTCACACGGCCATGCGTATACAGCCTCTGCCAGGGAAGTCCTACTCATTGCCTTCTCGTGGCGGGGGTGTTGTTTACGAAAATGAGAGGACGAAAAGCGAATGTCCGGCGCTTTAACCGGATTCCAAATCAATGGTGCACATGGGCTCCACTATCCTGCGGGAACAAATGGCGTATGAACCAATCGTTGGTCACCGGCTACCATGGGACTGCATCTTCTTACGATGCTCCACTGCCTTGTGGGTTAGACCTTTAGGTCAAAGGCTCGGGGTGTGGCCCCCTAAGATAACCACCTGCTTCGGTCTGGGCACCCGGGCAGTATCGCAGCCCAAACGCAATTAATGAACTGAACTGTTTAGGATCATGGAAACTAATTCTCTTGCTTCGACGAACACTCAAATAATTCAATTATTATTATTGCTATTAATATTATTATTATTATCATTATTATTATTATTTACGACGTCATTATTCACCCTCTTTTATTCCTACTCTGTCTATACTTATTTTTTCGACGTATACAGCAGCTCGTCTATGGTGGAAATTCGACTGTATCTAAACGTTCTCGAGTCACTGTCCGGTTGAAAATGGTATGTTACCACCGAATATGAGTACTGAAGCAGTTTTTCTGAAACCACGTGGACCATTCAAACTGGCTGCCTTCAACGTTCGCACATTTATGCAGGTCGGACAACAGATAGGGCTGGCTATGTATTTGGAAAGTCTTAATATCGATGTCTTCTGTCTATCCGAGACCCGTATTCAAGACTCTGGTGAAGTACTGCAAATTCGCTCTCCATCTGTCGCTTCGAAAAGCTTGTTTTACGTGCGCTTATCCGGGGACCCTGTGGCATCTTCGTCTGGTCTTGCTGGCGTTGGTGTCGCACTAAGCGCTAGAGCTGAGGCAGCACTAGTCGATTGAATCCCCATTAACAGTTGGTTATGTGCTGTTAGATTAGAAAGTTCCATCAAAGTGAGAAGAAATCGGCGTGAGAAACGATGTCTTTTCGTCATCTCCGCCTATGCCCCGACAGATTGCAGCCCGGATGCAATCAAGGATGAGTTTTACCACCAGTTATCTGTTCTTCTCCAGAAAGTGCGTTCGACAGATATTGTAGCACTAGCCGGAGACTTGAATGTTCAGGTCGGGCGTCTAGGCACAGAAGAGTCGTTTAGGTGGCCGATGGGGACTCGTTAGTCGCAGGTCAGATAACGGGGACCGTCTACTGCAACTGTGCACAGACCACAACCTGTTTCTGGCTAGCACTAACTTTCGGCACAGTCATCGCCGATGTGCCACCTGGCGTCCTCCCTCTGCATCTCAAGCCTGGACTCAGATTGATCACGTCGCGATCAGCTACCGCTGGCGTGGTTGTGTACAAGACTGCCGCTCCTTTTGGGGTACCTATTTCGACTCTGATCACGCCTTGGTCTATGCCAATCTTACCTTACTTTTCAGTGGCCAACGAAGTGACCGCCACCAAAGGATTGATGTCAGCAAGTTGGTTGCAACTCCTGTTGCTAGTAAGTATCGAATCGAGCTAGTTCCTAGGCTAGGTACAATAACACCGAAAAGTATAGATGAGCATTGGTTGCAATGGCATGACGCCATGAAAATGGCGGGTACAGTCAGTTGTGGGTTTGCGAAACGTCCCTCTTTTAAGCACTAGGTTTCTTCTGGTTCCTTACAACTCATTGAAGCCCGTCGGTCTACTCCGGGTGACCGTGAGTTTGACCACAAACGAAGGATGTTACGTAATGAAATTGGACAAAGCTTGCGTAAGGACCGAGAAGCCCGGTGGTCGGAGCGTGCGAATGAGCTGGAAGCAGCAGCTGCATCTGGTAACTACCGGAAGCTCTTCCAACTCATCCGAGCCACTGGCAGCAAGAAGTCTGGTGTGAGCGAAACAATCTGCGAGGATGATGGGATGCCAATCACTAGCATTCATCGACGTCTTGGACGATGGGCAGAATTTTTCGAAGGGCAGTTCAACTGGCCTGCTGCTCCGGCAGCACCGGTCAGACTGTCCTGCCCTCCATGGCCGGTGACGACTGATCCACCAAATGAGGAGGAAGTCCGCAAAGAACTCCAACTCTTGAAGCGCTACAAATCACCTGGCCCAGATGACTTACCTCCGGCTCTTTTTGAAGATGGTGGTGACTTTCTGACTAAGGGACTGTTGGGGACGATAGATCCCCAGACTCATATTTTTAAATTTTATCTTATCGA